TACGTTGTCCCTCATTCAAATGGCCGATTTAATGCGCAGACATTGAAACTTTTAAGGGTGTAATTGGAACGAATTTCGCTAGCGACCTCAACAATAGCAGCATAAAGTTGTTACGGTTTTGTGCAAACAAGGGACTGAATATTGCAAACACCTTCTTCGAGCATCGAAGCGTGTATCGATATTCCTGGTAGAGGGAAGCTTGTACACAGAAGTCGACGATCGATTTGAAAATCGTATCGTCTGACCTACGGCGTCAGGTTTGAGTGTTTGGATGCACAGAGCTGTCTGCATTTCATACCCTTGTTGTTGGTTGTTGTCACCTTCAACCGCTGTCGATGGTTGCGAAAGCAACCAGAGAATCAGACTGGAAACATTGTCTTCTGCGGATACGAAGGCGAAACTTGCAGCACTGCACGATGGTTAGAACAGATCCCGTGATTACGGTTGACCTGAAAATCGAGTGGAAGATGTTTAAAAGCGGCCTACTCAGGGCTACCACCGAATGCTGTGATTTAAAATGAGTTAGTCTGCGGTCTGAGAGTCAGAAACAGACTTCTTGGTAGACATGAAGGGTTCATCTGGCTGTCACCTAGATGATATCTGCATTCAAGAAATGGCTTTGAATCAAAGAGCTTTCAGTTCGTTTCCAATAAGAAGAAGTGCCCAAGGCGAAAGCTGATTCCTGGAGAAAGTTCGGTGAGGTGTTGGAATAGAATTTCTAGATGACAAACAAGGTTGTCTGGCAGATCATTCGCTGCGTCCGAGGTGAAAAGAAGGCAGTCTAGGAGTCCTGAAGGACTAGTCTGAACACCGTTTTACCGAGGATGAGGATAATCTTCGGCGATATGGAGAGTACTTTGAAGAACTCTTTAACCCTGAGCAACCGCAGGAAGACTCACCTGAGCAGCAACAGGGAACGGATATTAGTATATCTGTAGATTAGATCGCAGAAGTTGTTAGAAACAAATGGCAAGCCTGATGGATTCAATGAAATCCGTCTTGAAGTGCTTAAGGCATTTGGCGAATAATGCGTGCTGTGGCTAGCGCATGTCTGTCAAGCGGAAATGACTTCGGTTAATGCGCCGGTGGGATGGTGAACTGGTATTGTAGTACCCTTATTCAAGAAGAGAGAGCATAGTGAGTACTTATGGAGGAATTGTTGTAGAGCCCCCAGAAAAAAGTTTACGGAAAGGTGTTAGAATGAAGGTGCCGCGGAATAGTTCACTCTAATATCCAACGACAACAATGTGGCTTTAGGTCAGCCCGAAGCTCCTTAGAAGGTCTTCACCTTGCGCCAGATTGTTCAGAAATCGTGGGGTTCGCTCATCCGGTTTATATTAGGTTTGTTGACCTGAAGAAAGCCTTTGACCGGAATCCAAGTCCAGCACGCTGTGGTCATGCCTGCAAGCAAATGTGATCAACGGCTAGTTGCTACGAGTTATCCAGTCACTATATGATGACAGAAGATGCTGTATCAGAGTAAATAACGTTAAGTCGAAACGTTTCTACAATGCCACTGATCTGCGCTAAGGCTGCGTTGTGTTCGTTTTGTTTGTGTTGTACGTAAATGGGATACTGTGTCACAGCCAGGGAAAGTAGTTTATCAGTGTAGGAGACTTGGAGACGAGAAGATTACTTTTGGGGACTACCCTGTTTTGTTGGCATCTTATGAAACTGACCGCCAGTGTTCTTTGGAAAGTTTAGCAGCCAAGTGCGATGTGGCTG